CCCCCCTCCCTCCCCTCCAATAAAATCTATGGCCTCGATGTGTAGAGAATATTTCTCAAGCAAGGTAAATAATTCCGAGAGAGTCGCGGGTTTGCAAATTCGAAACTTAAAAAAAATTGGAATGCGTAGTCTCGATGGATATTTACAACATGTTATTTTCGTATTGGTCAATATAGGCAATGGATGTAGGTTCATTTAATGACTCCTCTCCTATCATGTTTTTAATTTATCAGCTTTCTTCGGTTCAAACTGTTTTTAAAGCTGATCTAGGTCGTGATTCTGTGTTGCATGTTTCACGGTGTTTCCTTTGTGGAAAAAATTTAATATTTTTTAAAATCTTTTACACTCAATTATATTGATTGTCATGTTAAGCACTAACAATTGCAGGTGAGCTTGCAGGCATAACTTTAATATTTCTCGTAATTGTGATGATCATGTCGCCACTCGTCTTCGGGCTGTATTATTAGTGTCACTTGACTTACTGGTATTGTATTTCACATTTCAGTCCCTACGGAATGGTTTCGAATGGAAGTAATACCGGTAAGAGTGTCTCGTAATTCACTATTGTTTTTATTAGAACTGTAGGATTTTGGAACTCGAACAACGAGTGATTCTCCTTTCTATAAACCTCGTGGGGAAGTAAGGCCAAAAAATTTATATAACAGGTAAAAGAAAAGCTGACAAATCGAGGGCGCTAGTACTACGGTATTAGCAACAAGTTGGCTCTCATAAATATGAGTTTGATTTACATTTCCTTGATAACTGCCTTTGCTTTCGCTGGAGTCTTGTTGAACTTACAAATGCTCTCCAACTGCTTTAAAAACAAAACAAAGAACACAGTTTTGGAGGAAAGATGGACTGTCGTAGCCTGTCAAGTTGTTTATCAAGTCTTCGTTCTTGTCACGAACACAGTAAGCGCGTGGAAAGGCTACGACGTACTTAGTGGGGAACATGATTGCAATTACTGCAATGCAATGTATACGTCAGTGGCGACCTTTATGGTGTTTTTTGTGAGTGGAAGTTTGGCGTCCTTTGCGATTGAACCTCTATTTGTATCGTGTCATAAACGAGAATTGATTCCTTCATATGCACTTAATACAACAGCAGTATCAGCACTGGTTTTGGCCGCTTTTGTAACGATCCGATGGCTCAGTCCTTTTTGTGAAGATGCTGTATTTTATCTGATGGCAATCAATCTGATACTGACAGTGACGATCGTGGTTTTATTGCGTGTGGCCTCTGGGTTGTGTGAACCACAACCTGACTCTGACAAAGCTCTTAAACTATCGATATTGAAAACGTCTCGGATGAAGTTTTGTCTTAAGAATAAGGGAACCACATTGTTTGTAGCTTTGTTTTTAGTGGGTTTTGGAGTAACACAGTGTTTTCAAAAGCTCCCCAATCTCCTCATCACGAATGTCGCTGTTGGGATTGCTCTGCCCATGGCATTCAACGACTTGGCCGGTTCAAACTGTGAAACAGAAAAAGAGATCAAAGTGCTAGTAATTCCAAGTGGCGATTCACAGATTGAAGGCATTTTCACGGTCGAGCAGCTGCAAAAGACTTAATTTTTTTTTAAGTTCTTCCTTATTTCTTTTGTAGAATTGTTTCATCGTAAATCTCTTTTCCAAAGGGGGAGTACACTGAAACCAAAAAAGAAATATTCTAAAACGGGCACGTTTCATGTGACTGCATGAACTGCATCATTAATGCAAAAATGTAATGATAACACCTGTATTTTCATACTTGTTATTGTGAGCCTAGCACTCTTCGATTTTAGTAAATATTTCAGTGAAGAACCCCGAGAGAAAACAAGGTTTCGCATTCGAGGTTTATTTTAGTCAGCAATACCTTTTTTCTCGTTATTGTTAATTATTTCTAGCGCAAAGTGGGTATCAAGACAAAATTGGTAACAAGACAAAATTAGTATCAAGCAGAACTTTTTGGTATTCACCTTATGGAAATAGTGTTTCCATTGAAACAAAAGTAAAGACGATTAAAGCCATTTACTGAGGAATTTGGTAGAAAATAAAAATGTCCTCTGGCTATGTGCCCCGCCAGCTGAACAATTTTTAAACTTTCGAGTATCGGTTGTTGTTTAGAAATTTTAAGCGATTCCAAATTTTTTTAATAAGTATACGCTAATGCCGTGTGCTTTAGTAATTCGCTTATGTATTAGAATTTGGCTTTTTCCTTTTTGTAGCCACTGCCTCCTTTAGGATGCGAAGCCGTATAAGGTTGTCGAGATTAGTGAGTGAGCTTAACAATAGAATTCCGACCTGATGTTTCCCGGTGCAACTTGTCGCTTTGTTTTGTTTGTTTGTTTCTTTTTTTTTTTGGAGTATGTCAGTGGTTCGAAACTCGTACTCGATACACAGTTGAGTTCTCTTCTTTTGTGATTTCTGGCGTATAACCACTAGCACATTAAGTTTTCAGTTGTCTCCGTGACACCACGAGCGACAGCAGAAAGCGATAAACATCTAACAATCATTTCAGGATTACAGGCACTTTAAAACAAAAGTTTTCCTAGCGGAATTATCATAATAGGTGTGATCGGCGCACCATGACACTTAGAGGGAAAATTTTTCTTGAAGAGAGCGCATTTTACCGTTTAAATCAGCAAATCATGTAGACACCTCAAAATATTTTAACAGTGGCATACGTCGACGCGTAATTTATCAATAGATGTGATTTGCACATCCTGGAAGCTTAAACGAATTTTTCCTTCGAAAAAAGAGCCTTTTACTCTTAGAATCAGCGACTTATGCCGAAAAGAGCGGCTAAATTTGCGAAGCGAGCAAGCTGCGAAATACTATAGTTTGAGTGATATACAGAATGATCAAGTGCAGGAACGGTGAATCGGCGGAATGTCGGAATATTTTAAGACAAGGAGTGCCTTTTTGTTTGAACCCAAGTCCATTTATCGCATTTACGCCCACTGTACGAGAGCTCAGCGGACTTTGAAGTTTCGAAACGAGGCTATCGGGTCACAGGTAAAACTTTCAAGTAAAATCGCAGCAAACGGCTACGTTTGGAGGCATTTTTATTCATTTTCTTAAGGATAAAGCGTGTACTCGTCATGGTTAGACATTGTATTGCGTACGGGTGCAACAGTCTATTCAGTGAATCGGCAACTGACGAGATCCACAAGTTTGGGTCGGAACCGCGGTCTTGCCAAACACGTTCAACTCTCAAACTAGAGGCGAACAAAACGCACATAAAAACCTCTCAAATAAAGAACTTACAAACGACCAGATTAATTTACTGGCAAAAGGGCTTAAATTCATTCCAACACCCGCTACAAAACAAAAACAGATCAGACAACAACTATTGTGTGACTTTGATCAGTTTGCAAGGAAAATGCGTCTGATTTACATATTCCGAGGGGAGGACAAAAAAACTCATCCCTGCCACGTCAAATCTACATGGATACCACCAGTACAAAAATCAGTAGCTCTTGAAAGCTATTTAGAGGAGGTTAAAAGTGACCTTTCAGAAATAGAAATTACAAAGCCAAAAGATAATTTGCTTCCGGCCGAACGCAAGGCGCTAAGGGCCTTGAAACGTGACTCTGAGTTAAACCTTAAAAAAAGGCCGACAAAGGAACTACAACCGTAGTCAGGAACAAACGCGACAAAATTTTGCCGTTCCTTTCCGAAATGACAGCCATTCTTTCAATCTTCCTTTCGGGATGCAGGACAATTACCACTAAGAATTTTGACCTTTTCCTCGGCAGAAAAAAACGCATATTCTAGAGTTATATGGTCAAACATGGAGTGTTGCTGGTGTTTCTCGAGAAACGTTGACCCGATAGCCTCGTCCTGAAACTGTAACTCCGAGGACCCTTTGCATTGCAGACACAAATGCGATAAGGGCTATTAACTGGCGAAATTAAAAGAAATATAGGTGATCATTGCAGCCTAGAGGATTGGGGAACTATGAAGTTATCGAGTTAGCTCCTTTAAATTAATATTTTTAAAATATTTATTTAAAGGAGCTAACTCGATAACTACTTCTGTTATTATTGTCAATATTATTACTTGTTACCATTTAATTGGGAAGGTGTAGTCTGATCGTCCGGGTGAGTGTAGTCCTGAGAAGGACTGTTGTCGGTGATAGTGACTGACGTTTCGACAACCTGTGCAGAAGTCATCATCAGAGTCAAGTGAATGATTGTTCAACAACAAACATATGAAACATATGTTTCATATGTTCGTGCATATATATGAATAAGGATCGTGCATATATATGAATGATTGTTGTCAGTAGAATGTTCTTATTCCAGTTCGCGTAAAATGATCGGTTGGTTTTGCCGTGATGTTATTACAGCCAATATTACAATATTACAGCAGGTTATGTTGGTTTCATCTACACCAACGTATTGAAGAACATAAAAACTCCTCTTCGTCAATTGGCAAACATTTTCGCGACAAACATTCTTTGACTCCAAAGGATCTTACAAAGAACTTTAGCACCTTAATGAAGTGCACGAACAAATTTGACTGTCTCGTCTATGAGATGTTTTTTATTCACAAGCTAAGACCTGCTCTCAATGTACAGTCTGATTCAATTTGTGCTAAGGTTTTTAATTAGCTTTTTAGTAGCACTTTCTTTGTAGTATTATTGTTTGTTTACACCTGCTAAAAAATTTTTACATTTCTTACGTGTATATATACATATATTTACTGTATTTCATTCCATTCACTTGACAATGACCGAAGCACGGTCGAAACGTCGTGTTTTACCGTTGATTTTTATCGTCAAATATTTCGTATAAATTTTCGATAAAAGAAAACGATGATACTCGTTCTGGGTCAGGCGATGATGTTTGTTGCTCATTATTTAATTTATACCGAAAAGTATAAACGGCAGATGTTGTTGGATCGAAAAATGCAAAGCCCATATGTTGAAAAAAACCAATTGAGAAATACTCATTTTCCCAGTTGAGGTTGGTAAAGATGTCGAGGTTCTAGGAGCCAACCAGTTTCCATTCTCCTACATTTAAGGTACGTGACAAGATAGTCAGCTACATACATGAAATTATTGATACTTGACTTCATCTGCGGACCAGCTTTACATGCGGGAGTGTAAAGTGAGCTTCTTAAAGCCTCAGCAGATCGAACAATTTGTTGCTACTTGTTCTCCTAAGTTCTGTTAATGCGAGTATACGGCTTTTTATTCACAAAAGCCTTCCCAGCCTGTCTTTCGCTAGTCTGGCAAAAGCCACTTGTGATGTGAAACCCTTTGAAAGCATGGAGTGCTGGTAGAAGCTTGCAAAGCTCTTGTCCAAGCTTTTCTACGAGAAAATGTATTGGAAGATAGGGAAGCACGACCTTCGCCCCATTGCGGAGCCATAGCTGGTCACTTCTCAAATAATGATATGTAGGGATACAAAGGACAGCTACAATAGTGTCAGGTGACTGGACTACGATGCAGCCATGATTATGAGAGCAGTCTTGAGCATGGAGAAACAATCTTGTCTGCCTCCTCATTATGTGACTTCACAGGCAGATGGTGGATAGGATGTTCTCCATTTTGTGTCATTGATACTGCACTCCTACATATATTCAAAGCATCCTGCTGGCACCAAATTCCCTCCAGGACTAAGTGCCCTCTTTACAATCTCTCTAATGAGTGCAGTTCATAGTTGAGCAGTGTCATCTTGATGAAGTGTTGGTAGAATAACAACTTTTTCATCGATGGTACCTTACAGCTGCTCTTTGTTGTCTTTCTCAGAAACCCGTCTGTGTGTCAAAGTGCAAGGAATGGAGGACATTTCGTACTTCAGAACTTTTCTGAGTTCTATATATTAGATCTTAACGGAATGGGTATTCGAGTAGATTAGTTCCTGTCAGCGCTCACTTTTGAAAGTTTCTTATCAGAATTCACCTGAGCATTCTTTGACAAAATTGCAAACGTTTTGGCTTTCAAAATCCAACTTCATGAGAATGCATTTCTTTTCTTACCAATGACTTCATCTCTTCCATTCCCAGGTTTTCAGGATAAAAAACATCTAAATCGTCTGGCATGAATGCTCCTGTAGCCAGATTGTTGAATGGTGTACTCCTTGTATCAGCACTAAATGGATCTGGCATTTTGGTCGTCAAGGTGCAAATACGTTTGTTGTTATCATCTGTAGGTCCAGACTTGATTGAATAATGAACATCGGGCACAAGATGACACATGATCTCATTAACTCCCTGATCGACCAGCGAACTTCTTGCGATCGGGAACTCCTATCAGAGCTCATTGACTCCCCAATCGACAAGCATACTTGTTGCGATCGGGAGCTCTTATCACAGCTCACTGACTCCCAGATCGACCAGCATACTCGTTGCGATCGGGAGCTCTTATCACAGCTCACTGACTCCCAGATCGAACAGAGCTCATTGACTTCCCAGTCGTATATTTAACTTGTGGCAATCTGTAGCTCTTTACAGAGCTCATAGACTCCAGATCGACCGAGAAATTTAATGCGATAAAGAGCTCATATCGGAGCTCATTAACTCCCGTTCGAGACATACTTTTTGCAATCTGGAGCTCTTATCAAAGCCATTGACTTCCTGATCGGCCAACTAAGCGTTGTGCGATGGAGAGCTCTTATCAGAGTTCAACAACTCCCCGATTGATTAAAACCCTCCTTGCAATCGGGAGCTCTTATCAGAGCTCATTGACTCCCAAATCGTCCATTATACTTGTTCCGATTGGGCGCTATTCACAAAAGAACTCATTAGCTCCTCTGTCGAAACACAAACTTCTTGCGATCAGAAGCTCTTAACAGAGCTCATTTGCTAGTTTACACATTTACTCCCTGATCGATACACAAGCTTCTTGCGATCGGAAGCTCCTATCAGAGCTCATCGACTTCCTGATCGACCAACTCACTTCTTTCGATCGGGAGCTCCTATCAGGGCTCATGGTCTCCCCATTCGCCCTACAAACTTCCTGCGATGGGGAGCTCTTTCAGAACTGATTAACACCCCAATCGACCAACAAACTTCTCGCAATCGGGAGCACTTGTCAGAGCTCATTGACTCTAAGTTGACCAACAAACTTCTTGCGAAAGGAAGCTCTTATCAGAACCCACGACCTTCCAAAAAAATTCTTGCAATCATGAGCTCCTATGAGAACTCAACGACTCCCCGATCGACACATGAAGTAATTACTATGTCCTGTTCCCTGGGTCATGGCCACTCATTAACTCTCTAGTTGGTTTGTCCATGATGTAAACTGGAAGGAAATGGGAATAATGTTTTATATCCATAGAGTAAAGAGGAGGGTTTATCTCAGCTGTTGCCTCGAGATGTATCTCTCAGTGTCCTTTAAGCTCTGCTATGATGAACTTTAGATGAAGTAGCACCATGTTTATGTAGCTACTCAACTGTAGTGACGAACTCTATTTCTCAAATCTGCTAAAAAGGGCGAAGATCTTTCGATGTATCGCATAGCAGAAGATATAAATCTTTCCTCTCTTCAGAGGTAGATACCTTCTTGTATGTG